CATACGAAGGGTGAGTGGAAGAATATCTATTTCTGGCACTTGCAACTATGCTCTTTAGGTTAAGGTCTTAAAGCGATTACTTTAGATCCATTTGGTAAAGGTAGTAAAGGTGAATTTGGCTGCAATGGCTGAACTTGCTTGTTCCTGATATTGTTGAAGTTGTGCTTGAATATGAAACAAATATTTAATATATTCCCTATTGATAATATAACAAAGCATATCTTAAAAATATTAACAAGATCATCTTCAGAAAAACAAAAAACAAAAAGCATGTGCAAGATTGGTAGCTTGAGTTTTCAGGGTTACAGCCAGATTTTCTACCAAAACCAACTGATTTACTGTTGTGAGAGAAGTGCATCATAAGTTGATCTTTTTTGTTTCCGAAACAACCTGAGTGAAAGTAAAAGACACTTTTACCTTCACATTTAGATATTATTTTCTTTAATTTACTTCTATATATATCTCTATTAAAGAATTCATCCATGTTAAGTTTTAATGGTGTACAAGTTACTCAAATTCAGTTGCCTCGGTGACTTCAACAGTATTTATCCACGGCGTCTTTCACTAAACTTGACTTTGGTCGCAGGATTGGAATCAAGGAAAGTGTGAACTGGCTCGTCGATGCAATGGAAAGAAGTAAGAGAACGGAAATGCTGAAACTGCGCGTAGACTCCACCAATTTCTGATCAAAATGCGGATATATGTAATAAAAGACATACCTTGTCATCCACCTCTGGAATTACATTACATGCAAACTCTGTGTAAGTAATACAATGTTCAGTCTTAATTGTTAGCTTTAACACAAATACCACAATTTACACACATTTAACTGATATAGAGGACCTGAGTGAGCTGTGGGTACTGTGATTTTTGTGCTTACAATTTCGCTTCCGTTTCAAATATCAAGGACTACAAACACAATGTTTTAGAATTGGGGAATGTATATGTAACACTGCTTATTTTGAAGGACTATTATATAATTTACTCCATTCTATTGATATCAAGAGTACATGCATGTAAGAATGGAAAAGTCAATGGAAAATAACATGTGGTCAAATGGAAAACGAAGGCCAAATTTTGGAATTTCTTTCTGTTTTTTTTTCGGAAGACAATTTCTATTGTCCTCTATCTCTCTTTCTCACACTTTTCGTTGTGTCTTTGGCCGTGTTTGGAAAACAGCATTTGGGATAGCTTTTGGCATCTTTGACTGACTTTGGCTTTTTTGACCAAGCGAACCGCCAAAACCATTGTTTGGCTAATGGCTTTTTCACTTAGCATTTTGATCCGAAAAGCCAAAATCTGAAATGCCAAGGTGAGTAGCATTTGGACTTGGCAGTTAGGAAAAATATTTTTTTAAAAATCATTTTTGTTGAAAGATATTTTATAATATATGTAAAAAATAAAAATAAAAGTTAAAAAAATTAAATACGAAAAAATAAAATGAAATTAAAAAAAATTATATTTATAATTCATTAAAAAATTTATATTTATAATTTATTATGAATTAAATGAAATTAAAATTTAATATTCCATATAGTAAAGATTTAATTTTTACATGTAAAAAAATGAAAAATAAATATCATGTCTACACACACACACACACACACACATATATAATTTTTTATTTAATTTTTTTAATTTAAAAAATATATATTTATGATATGATATTTAAAAAAATTGTAAACTAAAATATACCATAAATGGAGGGATGTCCTTTTATGTAATTTTATTTAAAAACAGTTAACTATAAACAGTTAAAGTTGCCAAACACTTAAAATTTAACTGCTAACAGAAACAGGCGGTTAAAACAGCTAACTCAATCAGCCATTCAAATCAGCTAACATAAATAACAGCCAACTGCCAAAAACAAGGCATTTATGTCTTTATCGTTGCACAAGGCCCCATCATTCCATCACACAAGAGCTACAAAACTCGGATTGAATGGAATCGTCGAGAAATTTCTTGCCTAGTTGCATCGAGCCCGAATGTGCTTAGAAGCTTTCTTGTTTGCAGGTACAATTGCTAAACCAAAAGCCATTGCTTCTGAAAGGCCTCCCTCATTGCAGCATCTTCATTCATTGGTCTCTCATTCTCTGGAGTCCCGTTGTTCGGATTTCCTTTAGGTAGCCAAACACCACAATAAGAAAATGATTGGAAAATCAGTTCTAGAAAATAACTCATTTTTCATAAGTGAATTTTTTTAGAAATCATCTTCCTTTCCATACAGACCCCTATAGTAGGTTTTAACTTTTGATGTGGCATTATTAAAACTACTCACTTTGTCACCCATTGATTTTCTCAAACATCATTTACAGGCTCAAATTTAACTTACTTTATTTATTTTTGATACTCATTTCATTTTTTTCTTGTTTTGTAGAATATTTCATGTAGTATTTTATTGTATAACTTTTAGTTTTAAACTTTACACCTCTGATCAAATAAATTAAATTAAAAATAAAGTGAGTCATATCTTATAACGCGCAATATGAAGATCTAAGGAGGGCGGAGGGTATACTTTTTTGAGTTTATATTACAAGCATTCTTATAAAAGGAAAACATCCACTCCACAATAAAGGGGACCATGATATCTAACTTTCTCTCCTATATTAATCATCTTCACGCTCTAGAGATAAAGCTACGCCAATGGATTTTAGGCCAAAGCTATGCACAAATGCCCCCCAAAGAATAATAAAAGGGCTCCTTTTGCATTGTATCACCAGAAAAAATCCAACGTTTTCTCTTCTTTTTTTAAGTGATCCAAGATTTTCTATTGATTTGATTTTCGCATAAATATTTTGTGTTCTTATAATTATCATACTCTCTCCGTTTCTGAGTATTTAATTATCTTGAACTTTTTTCAGTCCAAATTAGGAAGCTTTGACTTCAAATTAAATAAAAATGATACTCCCTCCGTCCTATAATGATCTTCCCGGTTCGCAAAACGAAGAAAAATCCCAAGTTTTTCAATCCATTTTATTTAAATAGTGGTATACAAATAAAAAATAAAACATACATATTTAAAAACAGATCAAAAGTTCAACAAAACAAGTGGTGGTAAGAATATTTTATTTTATCATATAGGTCATGAAAAAACACAAATAAATATAAATTCTTGTGAAGTTGGAATAGTGATCTGGGAAGATCATTATAGGACGGAGGGAGTATGAAATATTGATACAAAACTAGTTCCATTAGTTTTATTGTATAAAATGTTCTTCAAAATATTATTTTATCTAATTAATGTACAATTTATAATTTATATAATAATAGGTTAAAGGGTGAAAATAATTAATTGAAAAAAAATAACAAAAATAAAATAAATAAAAAACAATTATTATCTGGGTCTTTTACCAATTAGTGAAGAATGGAAAAATTCATTCCCAAATGGTGAGGTTGGCATGAGACATATCCCATCAATCCTGACATTGGAGCCCACTTCAAGTATTCCATCTTTTTAAATTAAACTTCGTAAATATACTCCTTTTTTTACTCCCTAAAGTAGGCTTCTTGTTTTTCTTTTTACTCCCTAAAGATGATAGTTAATCCAATTTTTTAAAGAGTAAATTTCATAACTAGTTCTTAATTTTATGTAGTTTTTATATCTAGTCCTCAATTATAATGTATTTCATTAACAGTACTCAATTTTTTGAAAACTATTCCACAAATAGTTGGTTTAACCAAATATGACTATATCTTTTGAGTAAATTCTCAAAATATTTAATTCTAATAAGGTATTTTTTAAAAATTACTAATTTGGTCTTTTATAATTGAGATGTATTTCGTAAATAGAGCTTTATAAAAAAATGTTATTAAATGACAATTAAATAGAAAATATTATGATGCTTGATGGTGTAAATTATCCAACCGGGTAAACAACACTAGGCTGAGTCTAGGATTGTTTACTGGATTCGTAAAAGTAAAAAAAGTAAAAGTTGACCGGGAGAACTGTAGGTGGAAACACATGTAGCCCAATTAATATTAAGAATATAGGAGATACATGAGAGCTTTCACGCGGGTTTTAGAGAGAAGAAATAAGACCCCTTCCTTTGAGGCGTACAACAATATTTATACTAAACTAGTCTGTACATCGCACGGGCAGTGAATCTAGTATTTAAAAGAAAAACATTCACTAGCATGGAATTTAAGACACAGCTAACAAATTTTAAAAACTTCTTAAAATTCTTTAAAAACTCAAGTTATTTTAAAGTGAGATTTGATGGTTGAGTTATTTTTTATTGTAAGGTGGGGTTTGAGGGTGCATGATTTTTTTACTTTTAAGTGAGATTTGAATGGTTGTAGGTTTTTTTAGTGTTAGGTAGAATTGGGTGATTGATAATTCATAAAGATAAGGGTATATCTGTATATATGCTCCCTCCGTACCCAATTAGATTACAATTTTTCTCTCTTCTCGATAACTTTTGTTTGTTTACGCAATTTATTAAGTATTTGATAAAATAAAATATTCTTGTCACTTGTTTTGTAGAACTTTTGACATAGTTTTTTAATATGTAATTTTTAATTTTTATCGATATACCAATTTGTAAATAAAATGATTTCAAAAAGTGAGATATTTCTCCTCATAAACCACAAAAAAATCCGGATTGGGAGTGTTCCCTTCACTCATTGGGAATGCACTGATTTGGGAACACTTTTGTGTTCCCTTCACTCATTGGGAACTAAGTCTTATTATCTTAGTGGTTATCCTTAATACATGTGGGTGATGTTATAACTATGAATAAAGCTAAGTCTTCACCACTTTGGGCACACCACTTTGTAACCCAGAACTTTGCACTTACACTTTAATCATACATGACACAAAGTTTCAGTGCAAAGCTTTGAGGATTAAAGTGGTGTACAGTGTACACCTAACATGATTGGCATTAGAAACTTATTCAAACTTTGAGAAGTGATTGTCTTATGATTATATGGAGGAATACAACAATGATATCAAACACAGAAAAAAGATACCCCAAAAAAATGCAAGATCCATAAATTGAGAACCAATGCTTAAACTCTACCACAACGAGCAAATCTGAAAAGAAACACCCTAAAGGCCTCAACGCAGTTCAATGGTCCAAACCCTGCCCTAAAATGTACTATGCTATGCATGGGGGAGGGGGGGGGGTCTGTTCAGGAACAATGTTTGTAACAAGAATCACCATTTTAGTTAAAGTTTAAAAGAACTAAAGCTAAAGACTACACTTACATAGCTTTTACATAATATTCAAACTAAACTCTAATTTGATTTGTGAATGATGGACTAATACATAAAAAAAGGAAAACAGTAGTTATTTGGACATATGCCGAAATCGGAGTTCACAAGAAAGAATGAGGTCCTCAAAGATCTGTTTTGTAAGCCTCTGGTTTGAACCACGATGAGAAGTCACCTCCTTCGCTTTTCAATTTCTCAGTTGCAGGCTCAATTTTATCTAGAAGCTGCAGAAACGTTCAGGTATTTAGTCTATTAAATGTGATGATGTAAATTAGCTAGACTAGTTTATTACTCTAGACCGGGTCTAAGGCGATAAGCTAAGTCGGAAAACTAACTATCAAAATAATAAGTCACTATAAAGGTTGTAGGTGGAAGCACTTGTAGCATAATTATTATTGATATTTGGTAGAGTGAAAGTACAACTAAGAGATAAAGTATATCAAAGTTTGGTCGTTTCCACTCTCTACGACGATGTATATATAGAGTAGAGAGCGGGTACTGTCCATGCATGTGGTAATCAACCACGCACACTTGGTGCGACCATAGTCACATAAATCGCGGTACGTTTCGGTACGGGTACGTGGTATGGGTACGAAATTCGCTAGAGGTAACGAATTCGGTACGAAGGGGGGTAGGTTCATTTCGGTACGAAGTGGTACGAAGCGGTACGGTGTACCATGTATTCGGTTCGGCGTACCAAAAGTCAAAACATAAGTAAACAAAAATAGATAAGATGAGCATAAGTGCATAACATTACAAAATCCAATTGAAAAACAAGACATTATGGGCTTTATTATTTTTGCCAAAAGCCATTGAAAAAAGAGAGAAAAAATTACTGGATATTGAGGACTTTAGGTTGGGTTGTGATGAGACTTGAGAGGGTGAGACATATATATATATATATATATATATATATATATGAGGATACTGCCTAGGAAAACACGAAACTCTTACGGAGAGAAGTCACAGAACAATCGAGAAACAAACGAGACTTTGGGGAAGTGCAATCGAGACTGGGAACGACTCACACGACACTTTGGGGAAGTGCAATCGCGAATTGAATTTACCAAGAGAACAATCGCAGATTGGAAGAGGGAAGGTCGCAGAAGAAACGAAATTGCGATTTGGATCGCTGGACCGCCGGCGATTGGCACTCCACATTCTCCGACTTGGTGCGACGTTCGAAGGCACTTGGATCGCCGTACCATGGCGATTTGGATCGCCGTACCGGTGGCAATCGGATCACCGGCGAATTGCAATTGGGTACGATTCGTACCAATTCGGAAATCGCGGCTGGGTGTACGAATTCTGTAACTATGGGTGCGACCACGTAATTTCTTGACTTTTAGTTGAAGTGTAATGATTGCGGCTTGTTGTTATGATGGCGAAGGCTGGTGCACTCATGCGATGCATGTTACTTCAAACATAGGTCTTGAAATGATGCTAGTTTCCACGTGCTCCCACATGGAAGAATCGGGAATCATCGGGGGCGATTGGAGCAACTGGGCTTTACAACCAATCGCCCATCATCGCGGGTGATTTAGTCAACGGGCTATATCGATACAACCGGTCCTATTTATGACTTGGAAAATAATTTCAGCATCTCTCCCAAAATGATCCAAAGTTTATATGAATAGACCGGGCTATCACCTTCACAATAGACCATACGATTTGAATCAGAGCACTCCCACTATAGTGAATAGCCCATCACACCGGTGATTAGTATAAGACCGACTTGTGCGTTCCTGTTTTAGGTTGATAACAACAAAATACCTAGCATATAGGGTTGTATAGACCGGTCCAACTGGTTGACTGACTTGGTCACTCATGGGTTTATACCCCCTAATAAGTCCCCCACTTCTGGTCTTGTGAGAATCATCAATAGCGAGAAGGATACAAGTTGAGTCGTTCGTTACGCAAGTCTAAAATTTTGCTCAAAAAATATAATATTGAAATTCCAAAATTTTGTGATTCAAAATTTTGATTTGAAATCCAAATTATCTCCAAGCGATGACACATGTGACGTCCTATGGCACTCCTAATTTGAAATTTGAATTTCAATTTCCAGTGCAATTATTGTGGCCACCTCCGGTTGGGCGTGGTATCTCAGGGACCGGGGCATCTTCGCCTATATAAGAAGTCCTCTCCCTTCCATTCCTTCACTTCTTCATTTCTATTTTTCAGAAAGTCCCAAGCTATCCGCGCCACTCAGTCCTCCGAGTCCAAGTAACTAGCCAGAATGACTCAACCCAATCTAATACGGACATTTTATTTCCTCCTTGGTTCTTGTGCATGTGTGCACAATGCCACAATCCTAAAACCAATACTGTTCGTGTAAGCTATTTCTACACACAAAAATATTTTACACGATGAACTTTTTGGGTCAACTGTTAAACGTGAAAACCAGAGTCAAGCACTAACCTTGTCATGGAGTGCGCCATTGGATGCCAAGACGGATCTATCGAATACGCAAAAACGTTCACCATCCATGCAAGAAACTAAACCCCCAGCTTCTTCAACAATCTGCATCCAACAAAAAACACCATATATTATGTTTATTTGGAAAACATTGCACCTGCATCTGTTTGCAGTCATCTTGAAAAAGAGTAAGCCACAAAACAAGACATTGATTTTATTAGTATAGTTATCCTAAAATATCTTAGTGCCATATTAAAATGAAGAAACAAAATTGGGTTTAGTGAACTTCAATAACTCCTATTGACGTGTAAGCCATTAAAGATACAACCATTACACCACTTAGCTTAAAAGGGTAGATTGTGACTTTTTGTGAGAGTTGTAATAACATGTAGAGACTTCTAGAAAACATGAAACCATCCATGTGCTCATCACCTTGGGTTAAGCTCTTTGCAAGTAGGGTGTTGGACAAATAGAAATCATGTATTTCTAATTCATTAACATTTAGATAATTTAAAAAAAAGTGTTTCTATCATGCACCCAAGGTGCACCATGGATCTTTTCACATAAGCAGTTAGATAAAATAAAAAGTACCCACAGTAAGAAAATAAATGTTCATCCTAATAATAATTTATAGCTTATATGAGAAAGTTGGGGGTCTCCTCGAAACATCCTTTGTACGTTCAACCAGGGGTAAGGTGTGCGTACACACCCTCCTTAGACCCTACACTTGTGGCATCGCACTGGGTTTTTGTTGTGGTTGCTTGCTTATGTGAGAAATTTTATAGTTCTTATATGCATCTAAGGGTAGTAGGGTGCATATAAGAATTTGCCTATGAAAATATACTTCATTTCTCAAAGAAAAATTTGCTCACATGAACATTAGTCATTTCTTAATGTGACACCAAATTTTTTATGAGTGCTATTTGTTGAAGTTATTCATGAAGTCTTAATGTGCCATTAATCTCATTCCTCGTTGGAAAAAAAACCACCGAGAACTCACTATCGACCCCTCACTCACGTGCCCTCATGCGCCAAATCTATCCGCCAAGTATGAGTTTGTTTATTTTGTAGGCCGAAAAATCCAAGTTTTTTTCCATAACACAACCTCCACACAAGTAGTCATTCGCTTTTGATGCTGAAATCGACCAACCACATGCCTCACATGCTACAGCCGCCAAGGCACCGACTTCACTAATCAATGTTTTCGACATGATTCTTCAGTTCTCTCCAACAAGTTTACTGGTTTCCATCCTTGAGGTACACCCTAAAGGCTACCGGAGGGGTAGAGTTCTCATTACTTACTCAAACAGAATACTGCACAATGAGGCTTATTCGAATGTCGAATTATTGTAAGCTCGACAGCTCGCCCAACATCATATCTCCTTTATAGTGTATTACTGAAGTTCCTAGATTCTTCTTTTGATCATGGTTTCTGTGATACATGTTTTGAGATACACCAGAAAGGGACCAAACCAGAGGATACTATATTAAGATAAAGGACATACTCAAACTTCCACATGCTCAGATGCCCATTGCATCTTTATAGGAGGAAAATCAATCTCTATGAAAAGCAAAATATGCATTTCTCGATCTAGCACAAAATTTGAGTGTCATGCTAGGGAACTAACTACAATTGAGTTGGTATGCCTAAAACACCAACTTTAGGAATTTCAGTATACGTCCACAACATGATAGACACTAATGTGTGATAACTAAGCAGCACTTCATATAGCTTTAAATCATACTGGTATTTTTTCATTAAAGGGCAAAGTGCAACAAAGATGATTTTAACTTCATTGGAGAAAAGAATCACGTATAGCTGCAAAACTACAAGATTTGATAATTATTTTGATTAGCTAGTCAACAAAGGCAGTAAATTCCTTCAGGGCCTTGGATTGATTACATTCGAGAGTTTAAGCTTGGCACCTAAAACTTATGTGTTCAAGCTTGAGAAACATATGTAAACACAACAACCTACCAGTAAAATCCCACAAAGTGGAGTCTAGGGGTGAGTGGGGGTATGTAGACTTTATACCCCTACTCACATGTGACATATAACAATAGGAATTTTTATAAAGTACTCCCTCAAAAGAATGTTAAACAATTAATCGGAAATACCTATAAGGAAAGATGAATTGTGTGGTTGAAATTTATGTAAAGAGAAGAGAAACAATATGTATGACACTACTCTTTTGGAAAGTCTCTCCTTAAAAAGAAAATGAACCTTTTTCAAGCTTATCGATGGTGCAAATAGTGATCGCCATTGGCAATTTGGGCTCTCATCGTCATAGAATCTGGTCGTGAGAATTGGTTTACCCATAGTAGCACCATTTCCAGGCCATTTCCATTTTTTAGTCCAACATTTTTCTAGCCAAATTCATATATTTTAGCCTAATCCAAAAAACAAACCATTTATTCCTATCAAACATGAATGTTGACCCTAACCGGTGACCCCAAATCCAAACGATTCAATCCTCTCTCTTGTCAACTTCTCATCTTATACACGAGTCGCGACTATGCCACGTGAGAAGTGAGAAGGAACGAGAGAACTTCCTGCGAAGCCACACAACATCACAGCTCTTGTGACCTCCGGTAAAACTTTCGAGGCAAAAACTCACAAAGCTAAAACCACCTGCGAGTTTGCAACTTATGACCTCTTGCGACCTCTAGGACAATGTAACTAATAAAAGATGATCCTTCTGATAGTGAAATCAATGAAGACGATGTGCCCTTTATTATCAGATTTAGACAAAAATGATGATGCTCAAGAGCATCATGATTAGAAATTTTTAACTTAAGTTGCTTGGTTGAATGTTTTATTAACTTAAATTTGAATGATGTTTTGAGTTTTGCTTAAGTTGTTTTAATACTAGTACCTTCGGGTGTTTTGTATTGAAATTTTGGGTGTATTTTTTATTTCCAACAAGACTATTTAGATCAAGTACTTGATTATTGTTTATTGAATTTATGACCTATATATTTGTGATTTTTTTGTGAGACTTGCTTCATCGCCATCGCCATAGAAAACTGGCCCATCGTCATGATTGTCGCCATGTGTTATAACTATGACCCATTTTAGGACAAATCTAAAAGGAAATGTGAACCTTCTTTTAGGATAGAGGTAGTATAAAATAAGAATGACAAGCCATATATGTTTTTACTATTTTTCACTTTAATTTCATTTTGAAAATCCCGCAAACGAATTGAGAAGTAAAGCTAATAAATAATAATTGAGAAGTAAAGCTAATAAATAATAATTGAGAAGTAAAGCTAATACGTAGCAACTAATAATAAGAGAGAAAATGTAGAATAAAAAAGAAAGCAAGATTGATATTGTTCTTCACTTATATCTTCTGACCATACAAAGAACTTCTTTAAAAAGCAGCAATTGAGCATCACGTATTTCCTAGAAAAAACCTGGAGAAGCATACCAGAACTCCAGCAGCAACGTCCCATGGTTTTAGACGATATTCCCAATAGGCCTCAACAATTCCAAGAGCAACATGGCATAAGTCTACTGCTGCTGCACCAAGCCTCCTGACACCCTTTACAAGTTGGCAAGAAAAAGTAAGCATGTGAAATTTTAGAAGAATGGCAGACTGGTACTGCTATCAGTTGGCCTACGAATTCTTCAGTCAAGGATCATAAAACAAGAATGTCAGTGTATTACTTACCTATTTATGGAAAACAATATCGGGTATATTCATTTTGCCTTAATTTAAACTGGACTGTGGAGTTTGGACTCTGGTAACTGGAGTCTAAAACCAGGAGTATGGAGTCTAAAAATTGAGAATTGAAGCCTAAATGCAGTAGTAATTTTAGTTAAAATCTGGAGACTGAAGTCCGGAAACTGGAGTGTGGAAGTCTGGATAATTGCAGTAAAACAATTAAAGAACAAGGCCAACGTGTAAGAGTGTACAAAGTTCTATGCACAATGTGTAACAACTACATACCTCCTTTGTTCTTAAATTAATGCAATGGAGGAGGGTTTAACAATATTCATTTACTCACATTTGATTTTTTTGTGCTTTCAAGTTTAAACATAATGCAAAATATAGTCATGTGGGGTCTTTTTAGATTTGTCTTGATATAAACTTTTGCGATCTCTTTTTATAATTTTTACCAAAACATAATTCAAAATATTGATCATTTGCTCTATGCATTGGCATGTGTGAAACTTTTAATGCAGCAATTATTTAAGAATGAAGGAAGTATCTAATACTCCCTCCGTCCAAGAATGATCTTCCCAAATCTTCCCAAAATTTCACCATTTTTTTGGCTTTGGGGTGTGATGGAATAAATCAAAATGAATCTCTAAACTGTCTGCGCTTCTTTAATTAATGAAGTAGCAGTTAGTCAAGCAATGCAACTTTCGACGTTGAGCCGGGGTCTCTTTGGAAACAGCCTCTCTACTTTCGAGTAGGAGTAAGGTCTGCGTACACACACCCTCCCCAGACCCTACTCTTGTGGGATTTAACTAGGTTGTTGTTGTTGTTAACGAGAGTCGGAAAAATAATGTAAATGTCCATTACTCCCTCCATCAGGAAAAGTTCTTCCCAAATCCCTTTTTTTAACCCGGAAAAGATCTTCCCATTACCTTTTTTTAGCATTTGAAATTCCACAGCTACCCTCACTTTCTTCATTTACTACACCCCACTTACCTCAATTAATAAACTCCACCCACTTTCATTAACGGATTATACCGTCACCCCTCAAAAAATGAAGGAAAAAAACAAAGGAGAAAAAGAGTAGGAAATCAGATAATTACTTGAAAGAGGGAAACTGGAAAAAAATATAGGTGAAGTTGTTACCCTACTAGTGCCAGTAAATCCCTTGAATAATTCCATATTGGCAGCCCAGGAAGCATCATGATCATATCCAAATCCTGTCACTAAGAGAGATTGCTCCAACTACCACGCATAGAAATGGGGAATATAAAAATCAACACAAAGAGAATGTTAGAGAGGCAAACTTCAGGTATAAGTAGTTTAAGTTAAGCCCTATTCCTTTAAGTAGAGGTAGGGAGCAACAGGTGACTTGACAAACTCAAAAGTGTGTATATTGAAGAGAAGTGCAACTGGAATTTCACATGAATGTCAAATTCTTGTAAATTTGAGAGAAAAATCTACTAAACCAATGATAGTCGGCACTAGAGGAAATGGGAGACCAAATAGGTCTGGGTGAAGAAACAAAATCTTTCTCCAAAATCCTAACTTGATCGAGATTAAGCCATATTTTAGTTGAGTTAGTAAAAGCTCACCTTATCTGTCCTGCTGACATTAATCTTTTGACCATTAGCATATGCACCTTTGCCTAAAAACATAGGATAAGTTTTTGCTTCAATAAATATGCATAATTGAAACAACCAATTATACAAATTGCAAAAGTTAATATCCAAAACTGAAGTGTACTTACCAGCAGCAGCAGTGTATATGCGATTGTTCCAGCACATAGGCCCACCCACAAACTCTACCTAAGCAGCATAGGGATTCATATGTTATTCTCTATGACACACAGAGAGATTGTTTTTCCGTCAATAAAATTATATATTTTTACACGGAAGGTTTCAGTGCTCATGCAACTAAACCTTAGTAATGATACCACTCTTTCATATTATATACAGCAACAACCCAGCTGGATCCCATGAGAGTAGGGTCTGGGAAGGGTGTGTACACAAACCTTGCCCCTACTCAAAAGTAGAGAGGAAATTTCCAAGACTCTTTCATATTATATAAAGAAAACTTTAAATAACTGGAAGAGAGTATAGTATAACAACACAAAAATGTATTCAGATGAAAGCATGTTTGAATGGTTGTGTTCAAAAGTATATACTCCGTATAAAAAAGGGTCATGTAAGTAGAGTCTGACCTAACCCCATTGATGGAGCCCATAAGCCAAGTTCATATACATACATACATACATACATACATACATACATACACACACACACACACATATGTATGTATGTATGTATGTATGTATGTATGTATGTATGTATGTATGTATGTATGTATGTATGTATGTATGTATATGCCATCAATAATATTTTCAATACACTGATTGTACAAACTTCAAAACAAATCTAGCAAATTTATTTTTGCAATTTCTACTTACCACAGTAGAAGCAGCTGGCTTGCCTCTGAATAGGACTGCCACAGAAACAGCAAAGCTTGGATAGTTGTGTGTAAAGTTTGTTGTCCCATCTGCATTTAAAATTCAGGTAAGGAAGTTCTAAACTTGCAAAATGCAAGAGTACAACTATTTACCAATAGGATTCTTTTGTATTTCTTCATGAAATTGTTGGAATTATTATCCCAAATCAGGTAATAGCCTGTGAGCAGAAAATTGACTCTAGAGAAAAGGTTAAATAAAATCATTAATTTCAAAAAAAGTTGTAATAGGACCATGAGAACTCATTTCATAAAGAAGATAATAGAACTGCCAATGTGTATAATGGTAAAATCTCTTTTTGCCTTTATTAAAAGAAGAAATGAAAAAAATTGGCAGTAACCTAAGTTGAGAGTTAGAGATTCTCTCAACTCATTCTGAACTCAATACATATACTCATTGAAGGTAGCTTTCTTTTGCATTAAGCAAGCCAAAACAAAATACTCCCTCGATCCCACAAAAGTTCCACAATGGAATTCGCACGATTATTAGATGTGAAATGGCCAGGTTGAAAGGGATACATATGAGAGACAAATAATATGAGACTGAAATGTTTCAATATATAGGAAGTTAAACTTCTTTTTGAAACAGACAAAAAAGGAAACGTGGAACCTTTTTACGAGATAGAGAGAGTAAATGATTTGAAGGTCTAACCTAAAGGGTCAATGCACCAAAGATAGTCGGAAGATGGATCCCCTGTAAAACCTCCTTCCTCTCCGAGAATTAGGTGATCTGGGAAATTCTGTCTTACAATATCCACAATAGCAGTTTCGCTCTTTTTATCAGTGCTGAAATGATTTTCAAGTTCAAATATGACCAATAAGAAAAACATAGTAAAAACAAATTATGTGGAGGAAAAGAGAATATAGTAAATGAAAAACAACTATAGGTCGTACTCGGTTACTAGATCAGTTGAACCTTTATAACTAATCTGTCTAGGTTTATTGACGGCGTCCATTACAACCTAAAACAAATTGAAAAATGAAAGTTAGAAAGGACAACAAAAGAACTTGTGATGTTTTCACTAACACTATGTTTGGCTAAAGAAAATACCTAATTTTCTCTCATTTTCCTCGCCAAAATGGGAGGAATTTTGTTTTCCCTCCTCTTAGTTCATTTGGCCTTCTCATTTTCTTTCCCTTCTACTTTTCTTTTCCTTCTCTAACCAAACAAGAAAAAAAATTCCATCTCATTTTCTTGTTTTTCCCCTTTCAAATTCCTTGAACCAAATATCGTGTAACAGATCTATACAAGAGACTATGACTGGTGATGCAAAAAGGGAAAATGTCAGAGGCAATTTTGGGTAACTTAAGCTGCAGATATTAACCTAAGATAAATTTCAACAGCATATAATCAAATTCACAACATTCCATCAAATATGACTTATTGACC